CGTCTGGCGGAGGGTGCTTGCACCTAGCTAGAGGTGAGAGCACCACTGTCAGATAATGGAAATACTGAGTTAGAAAAGGAGAAAGACGACGGAGTTGCAGGCTGAAACTACAGGAAGTTCAAGTAAGACGTAAACACTAAATTTATATGTATTTCAAATATTCGTGACCGGCAGTTCTCGACACGAACCGGCCACCTCCCAGACCACCATCAATCACACTCAACGATACCAACCTCACTGTGGCCTCAAGGCATTGCCACCTTGGCCTTCTCATACAGCAGAATCTATGCTGGAACTCGCATGTAGACTACATCATCACTAAAGCGACCAGGAAGATGTTCCTTCTCCTGCGACTACGCAATTCCTTAAACACTTTTGCTCTCCCCTCTATCTATCTAACTTACATCCGCCTTATTCTTTAGTATGCTTGCACTATCCTCTCACCCCTCCCCACCACCCTCAACGACCGGCTTGAGCGCATCCAACGGGGCGCCGCTCGCCTCTGTTTGCATCTCCCCCTCTTTGAACACAGAACCCACTCTGTGCTGCTGCACCGACTGAAGTGGCCATCACTCAGCAGCCGCCGTACCCTCTTCCATATCCTTCTTGCACATAGCCTGCATAATAGATTTGCACCACCACACCTTCTTGCAATTCACCTACCCTGAATACAACCCATTCGCACTCTCAGGTTCCCCCGAACCTTTGAGCTACCCACAACACGTACAAACCGGCTAAGAGACTCCCCCATCTATGCTTCTCTTGATCTCTTTAATAGCATTCCACTCAGCCTCCGGCAAATCAACCCAGACGAGATTTCAAAGCAAACATCCTACCACTTGTCATCTCTTCCGTGTGTACTTGCTCACATTGCTCAGATCATCTATAGCTCCATTGTGCCCAGCCTATGTGATAAACTCCTTATTGTCATCGCTACTGCTTCAGCAAACAGCTAAACTTTGATCTCTCTGTATCCGATCCCCGTGCCTGTGATTATTTTTCTCTTATTGGCCACAGGCCATCGTGAGAATAAAAAAGATAAAAGATGTCTGGCAAACAGAACAACTGACCAATGAGAACATCTGGTGTAATAGATTGCATTAGTAGCTTGGAAATAACACACCCTCTCAACTGAGAAGAGCCTTGTTTTATAGCACAAGGTGATAGAGAGAACACCAATGAGAAAGTGAGAAGAACACCATTGAGAATGTGAGAAGAACCGAAGTGTCAAGTAGGAAGGAAGTGTGAATACTGTCTGCATGAGAGAGGGGTGTGAAATGCATGCAATAAATAGGTCTTTTGCCCAATAAGACACACAGTGACTTGGCGGGACATGGCATGTGTACTGAATGCGTGACCCAGGCACGCCATACATGCAGTGCATTACGAGTCACGCGCGAGCTCTTGTTCCTGAACCGCAATGATCAATCACCGCGTTTGGCGTGTACTCACCCACCCGGCCACGCGTCGAGAAAATTGTGACTTTCTTTTTTTGTTTTGCTTGTGTCTTTCAAAAACTATGTTTCTTCAAGCGATCGCGATCGCGATCGGCATTCTAGAATAATATAATGAGGACGGTCACTGGATTTTCTCTGCCTAGTTCTAGTAAAGGGTTTAGTTTTGTTTTCTAGAAGATCTCTCCAGATTTTTTAGCCATGGGAAAGGCGATCACTGCTGCGTTCCGCAGTGCAACAGCGACCGACGTTCAGACAAAATACTTTGTTCAATGTCTTCCCTGGAGAAGCTAAGAGCGTGAGCAGTGACGAGTTCGACACAAGAAAGTCTTGGATTGCCGCCTTTCGTCGAGATGAGCGGATTGTCTACGGGTACCATCATGTCATACAATATAGTGGTGTGTTCTAACCATTTCACTGATGAATACTATAGTCGCTATCAACGATATCCAAGTGGAGTTCAGCCTGGAGATTTAGCTCGATTTGAAGACTCTGACATTCAGTACTACACTGGTTTTCCTTTGTTTGCTTCGTTTGATGCATGTATTCAATTTCTTCACCTTGATTATAAGAGCGTCTTCTCTTTCGCAGTAAACCAGTGGATGCCGATTCCAGGAAAACGAAACCCGGTGATGAACGGAAGATTAAGTTAATTGGCTTGGAGAGCTTTTTCATTACCATGGTTAGTCTTCGCCACGGCACACATACCAATCTCGCCGCGTCCTTCCCAAGTGGCAGAGCGATTGCTGGATGTTTTAAAAAAGCTGCATCCTACAACATTCATGATCATAGATGCTACAGTGCTGAAATGTAATATCGATTCCAGTCTGTCTGCGCAGTCGCAACTCTACAGCTCATATAAGACGCATAACGTTACTACCTTGACGTACCTCATCCGTATGACCCCAGATGGTGGTGCGGCGCTTACCTCCAAGTCATTTACGGGATCCACCACCAGTGACCACGAGCTCACAATCAGAAGCCACTACTTAGATCTTCTGCCAGTAGCCGGCTATAGGACTTTGATTATGACAGACCAAGGATTTGACATCCGGGATCTCTTGATACCACATGGCGTAAAGTTGAACAATTCCCCCGTTCAAGCGATCCAGCAACAGATGGCCTTAGACGATGTCCAGAAAACGCAACAAATTGCCACGTTACGAATTCATGTTGAGTGTCTGATGGAGCGAATCAGGGAGTTCTCTATCTTTTCAAAGATCGTTCCAACAATTCTTTTCCCTATCATCATTCAGATATGGATTGTTCGCTGCCTGCTCACAGTATTCTAGGCTCCTTTACTTGCTGAAGTAAATATGTTTTCCATGCCAACTGTTGCTAGCATTGCATGGCGAATTGATCTTCAGCAACACGAATTTTGTCATGCCTGAACAATCCTGCACAATACGGAGCAGCTAATGACTTAGTGGGTATAAATGTGGATAGTATGATATAATTTAGATTGCAATATTTGCAAAAGTGCGATGAACAATAATACCACTCTTGATGAATATTAGTGATGGCGGTTTATTAATTTCCATGGTCACAACAGACCTACAAGGGCGAATATAAAAGTATCTTTGCAACCATACAATAGATCCTTTGGTAGAGCAGAGCTGGACCCAGTTTCAGGAAAACTAGGACAAAATGTAGCTGCTAGAGGGACGATTATGCTCATTGCGTCGCTATGGGCTTCCACGAGCTCAGCGTCAACAATGCTCTGAATGGCAGCGGTTTTCCGCTGTCCTTGCCGATGCCTGCCGCCAAATATATCTGGAGTGCACAGTATTGGATCGATGTGATAGAACCCGGCCCTGAACAGATGGAGAAAGTTAGAATGTAAAACATGTATCGATAAAATGTATTTTTTCTTGTGCGAAATGTTGAAGACTGCATCCTGAAGTGGTACTTACCGATCGAGCAAATCACCCCCGTTTCCTGGACACTCCGGCTCCTCTAGCTCGCAGGTAAGTCTGCAACTGGTTGATTGTCCATTTTTCAAAGGATTCGCTGTCCAAAGGCATCAAAAACCGAGCTTTGGGATCGTTAATTCAACTTGATTCTCCCTCGCAGGACTACTATCAACATTCCCTTCATCGCAACGTACCGCCACAAGAGATGAAGTGCTCGGCTCATTGACCGCTTCATCAGCCATGTATCAAACATATCACAAAGGTCCAGCAAGAAGTAAATGCAAAAAAACCTTTCTACATATCGGACAGCAATGAAGAAGCGAGAAGAAAACAGAATCCTTCGCTGTCAGTTTTTTTTCCGATCCAGGAGAGTCTCGTTTTTTTCTGGCCGCCTGGGTGAGTACACGCCAAACGCAGTGATTGATCGTTGCGATTCCAGAACAAGAGCTCGCGCTGGGAGGAATGCACTGCATGTATGGCGTGCCTGGGTCACGCATTCAGTACGCATGCCATGCCCCGCCAAGTCACTGCGTGTCTCATTTGGCAAAAGACCTATTGATAGGTAAAGGTGAGAACTATCACATCTGGAGTTGGCTGACAAAGGCTGGTCTGAAGAATACCACAGATAGCCTGATCATCGCGGCACAACTCGGACCAGGCCTTTGCAACTAACCTGCTCTAGGCCCAAATCTTCCATCAAGGCGGAAGTCCCCTTTGTCAAATGTGTGGGAAGGCAGGCGAGTCGGTTGCCCATATATGCGAGTGTTCAAAGCTCGCTGGACGGGATTACTTGGAGTGTCATAATCGGCTGGCCTCTCTGGTCCACTGGTCGCTCTGTCATGTACATGGGATACCATGTGAAGACAAGTACTACAAGCACCACTGTGATCCGGTGCTTGAGCATACCAAGACCAATGCAATGGTACAAGAGCATCCTGCACCCGAGGATAACGTGCCTGAAGCTAGAGATACTTCAGATGCCAACATCTTCCTGCGGACCAGAAGGTCAAGATTCTGTGGGATTTCACCATCCGGTGCGATCGCTTCGTTGCGCACTGACGGCCTGATATTGTTCTGGTTGATGGACCTGCCAAGACGGCCCTGATCATTGACATTGCCCTACCTGGTGATCCACGAGTCGCTAAAAAGAAAGTTGAGAAACGTGCTAAGTATCAACTTCTTTGTCGCGAAATCCATCGGCTATGGCAAGTTGAGACTCAGATTGTTCCTGTGCTAGTTGGGACTTTGGGCACTGTTTCCAAACAGTTGCCAGGATACCTATCACCAGCTACTGCTCCCTGTCTGAATTGCAAAAGAATGCTCTCCTTGTCTCAGCAGCTATCCTGAATAAGGTCCTTGATTTGTAATGCTCTGGGGTGGGTGGTGGAGTTCTTTCGGTCCTATTTTCCTCCAAACCCTCTCGTGTTTCCTATGATCGATATCAATTTAAAAAAGGCAACACCATCTGATTACTTACTAAACACATAAATCCGTTCATTTCCTGACTTCATTCCGTAATAACCATTGTCTGCACGTACCGTATTTGTATAACAGAAAATATGCTACACATAAATAAACTTGTCTCGAGTCAACAGGCATGCATTTGAACACAGGAGACAATGTCCCAACCAACCTGCTGGAGAAGTGTCCACATTTATTTCCGTATAACTACCGGTTCCACCAGATGAACGGTAAGCAACTCCAATGTTATATGTTTTACCAAAGGTCAATCCTGTTATCCAGTAGTCAGTTGCATCTACATTGTTTTCCATGTAGAGTTTGTCCGTTGCGAGTTTGTGTTGCACCACAAAATTAAGAAAACGTCCATTGAGCTCAGTAACCGTTGATGAGTTCTGCCAAATTATACGAATATGGGTTTGATTGGTATCCATTTGGCGCGCTCTTAACATAGTTGGTTGGGCAATAGGAGCTGCAAGTTGAAAAGAGTCAGAAAACAAGTAGATAGAAATTTTCCTGTGGACAAGGTCGTTAACCCTTTCACCGCTTTGCTTAAATACTCCTTCAATACTCTTGTACATGGTGCCCATTTCGAGTTTGTGCCACACCACGAATGCATCAAAACGTCCATTGAGCTGAGAAAGCATTGCTGTTTCCAAAACGGTGTTCTGCCAAGTTATGTGAATGTGGGTTTGGTTAATTGGGTGAGTTTCGGCCCCCTTTGAGTTGGCTGGATTTACTAAAGGTGCGTTTAGGTGGCCATGAAGTCGAGACCCTAGGTCGGCGGAGCTCCCTAAACCTCACCACCTGGTCACAATTCAGGTTGTGCGTGTTTCGCCTAGTTGCATGTCATGTTTTGCACTTTTTAAGGGGTCTTTATTTAAAAAAAAGGAGTACAAATACAGAGAAAAGTTGACCGAAGTACACCTGTGGACTAGCTGCTAAGCTCTCCCCAGGAAAGGTTGGTGGATGCTTGGCAGAAGAAGACGGTGCCAAGACCAGTAAAGTACTTTATTAAAACCCATTCAGCGCTACTGGGCCTTGCCCAGCCCAAACTAGCACTGTGCATGTACGACACTCACTTGACAATCACTCTCACTCGGACGGAAGCAGTTTCTCACACTCTCTGACAATGCCTACAGTACTCTTGCATGCACCACACGCCATAATGTCTCACACATCACACCATACCCACACAGTACTCTTGCATGCACCACACGCCATAATGTCTCACACATCACACCATACCCACACAGTACTCTTGCATGCACCACACGCCATAATGTCTCACACATCACACCATACCCACACAGTACTCTTGCATGCACCACACGCCATAATGTCTCACACATCACACCATACACACACAGTTTTGTTTTGTTTTTGTCTGTTTTTTTGTTTGTTTGTTTTTTTACAAAGTCCACATACCTCCAGACACTGGGGTGAATAATGGAGTGTGGTGGTGGGGCCCATTAAGCTCAGCCGACCAGAGGTCTCGGCTTCATAGCTCCATGGACGCACCAAAGAGAGATTGGGTGGGGAGGATTTAGTTAGTAAGAACACGTATACTAGACCACCTAATGCACTACACTATATAGGACAATAGGCCTCAAGCACGTTGTACACAAACTCCCGTAAAATCCAGTATAATCTTGTAGAATCCCGTAGACCCGGTTGGGTGTTGAATGTGGAGGACCCTATTGTGTTTACTGCTATTTCCTCGATGAAATGGGCCCTGAAGGCATTTCATACGAAAACCTTTTCCGGCAGCAAGTCGTTAGTTGAGCACCTATCATCGAACATGAGTTATGTGCCTATCGCCTGCTGTCTTGCATTTATTGTTTACATTTATTTTTTATTTTCCTCTCTGTGCACTCTGCCTGTCTTGTGGCACATGCGAATACGTGGACTTACTGTTGACGTAAACGCTGACGTGCGTATAATAATAATAAGTCGTTAGTTCAATCCCAAAGTGAAGAAGCTGGAGAAGTGATTGTTTGCTATGAACTGTTAGACTAAATGGGTCAAACGCGCATGTCTAGCACACAATGAACATCCAAATGGGTATGTACACACCTACGACCCTAGTACAGAACTTCGTACATCTGTACAATATGCATAAGGACCATAGACGTCGGACTCTACAGGACAAAAACGAACCGATGTCGTTTCTTGGTGAGCTGAAGGCTGTGATGATTTTCATGAGTCTCATGTTGTCTGTGTGTTTTCCTCTACCTATCAAGTGTTTCTGTTGTTGTGAGTGACTGCTTTAGCTGCGGGCACTTATTATCTTTAGCTAAAAGATATGCAAGACGTAGCCTTTTGTCTGCAGGTTCCATTCATCTGAAACCAGCTAGCTTTCATTCACACGTGCGCGTCAGGCGAAATAGCACGTCATAGTACATTTGAGACCCCCAGCGGGAAGAAGATGACGACGTCCACTAATTTAGTATCTGTGCACACGAATGTGCTGTGTGCGTGACTTTGTGTGTCAGCTACGACATCAAACCCTGTGGTTCCATGCCTACCGTGTAGGTCAGAACCATCCTGCAAAGTTTGAATGACGTAGGTAAAACGATCGCACCGCCAACCATACCTTTTGAAATTCTGTTCGTAGAATTTCTTGCTGAGAGGGGTGTGCTGGAATACTCCATCTCTGCAGTAGTGCATTTGTACTTGCATGAATCTGTAGCCTTACACAGTGTGTAGTATGTCACACATGACCGCATGACTAAAACCAGTGTGCATTGATACCCTTTGCCGCTGGCTCCAGTACGGTGGGTCAGTTTTCGCACTCCTTTGTTATTCCCGCACCTGTCACTGCACTGCCCTTCCTCCGTGACCCGGAGCTGTTGCGAGCGCTCATGTTTCCTTTGCGTCTCCTTCGGAGCGCTTTCCTGCTCTCCGTGTCTCTTTGCATCGCTGCACTTTGGCTGGCGCTGTTTGCAAGCAGTGCTTTTATATTCACAGGTTCCGTGCTTTATTCGGGAGATGTAGAGTTAGACCTACGAGAGGTAGAGTGAGTCTAGAGTTTGCCCGCGCGGCTTGTAATTGTTGTTTCGCAGCTCAGAGTTTTGCTTGTATTTTTCAGAGTTTCGTGGTTCACAGATGTCCCTCGTTCTTCACAGTATATCAGTTTGTTCTCAACAGTGAGATTCAGTATCAGAGTGTAACAAGGGGTAGCTTGCAACCTCGATGTGGCTTGTTCCAGACATGCTGTGAAGCGAAACCCTGTTGAAGTAGTGGCGGGGATCTGCCCTGCAACTGCTACAACAAAAAAAATGATTCGATCTAAGAAAGTGTGACACAATGAATTTCCGTTGAACATTGAGTATTTCAAGCCTTTTCACGACGAAGATGGAGTTCTTTTTGGAGATGGACGTCGGGGCAAAGGACATGGTTTCCGACTTCTGGTGTCTGGTGAAGCCAGGGATCATTTATCCAGCCAGGTCGGCAGCCTAACCGTCGGTAATGTCGCATCCCTGGCTCTCAATGACCGGACCCCGAAATCACTACGAGCGGCGACTGAATTGACATGTGGCCTCACGACAAGCCCAACAAAACCCAGGGGCCAACCAATATAGCTGGCTTAGTCCAAGTTCAACCCCACACGATCAACAGACAAAGACTGTTAGTTTTACGGTGTGAGTAGTCATTCAAATCCGAGTTCAAAGTAAACCAAGACAGAGAGCTGAGACCGAGTCTCAACTGCAGTAAAAGAGAGAGCGAGAGCTTCTTTTATAGCGCAATTTAGAGATATGGCGTGCTCATAGCCTAGAATGGTACGAGGTATTTCCAGGAACTACTAGAACAGGTAAAAATGGAATATGAGCAGCCAGTCAGCAGAAAAGAAAGACATGGAGAAGAAAGACCAAATTGGGACGTGGGGAGCCCGCTCACCCACGTCAGAGTACAAAGAGCGTGTATGAGGGTCACGCTGGGGAGCCCGCTCACCCAACGTGCCATAGTTTAGCGGCTTCTTATGGTAAGTTCTGCTGCATTCTTGGTCTTGCTTGCATGATACTCTGACCTCTCGCGCGGTGAGGGTTTTGGTTCTAGCACACGTCTTGGCTCTGCACTCTTTGCACTTAGCTCGGTTGGTTAGTCTTGGCTCTTTGCACAAAGCACCGAGGCATCGTGGAAACCTGTAGAACGTGGTAGTGACGTGGTTTTGCACAAAGCCTGGAGTCACATTTCCAGGAAGTGAAACACTTCCAGGAAACGTACAACGCGAGAACCTACCTGACCAGGTTCCGGTGTTGGGTCACATGATGTGCCATGCCAAGAAGGCATGTCACGTAAGTCGGAAAATGCGTGTCGCTCAACCTACATGCTAAGCACGTGGGACAAGACACTGGCCAAACCACGTTCTATCAAAAAGGGCGTGACAGCTCAGCACAGAGCTGCTCACTACGTAGATCCTGCTGTCACAGGACTACCAGGCAGCAGTCATCACGTCCAGGGACGTGACAGTAACCTTGTGTTTGGATCGCGTTCTGCTCAATGTGGTGGATCACAAACAATTTTGATATCGCACAAATTGAACTAGGAATCGTGCGTACGGTATTTTGTATTCAGAAAATCGCAAAAAGTCTCTGACTCTCTGCGTGGCCATTCTATGCCACGAGAAACTCCAATCAGGCTCCTATGTCCTCTGCCTTCTTGATTGAATGTCCACTTCGTTTGAACAACAAACACAACAATCGAGGACAGCTTTGCAATGAAAAATACAGCTATACTGGAGCTGGAAAAAAAGAAGAAAAAACGTGCTCAGGATGAGACTCGAGTAAACGCGTACTCTCCCAGCAGGTTTTGTGGATGTCGCTCATAGATGCATAATTTCGCGTTACGAGCTTTGAATACTATTTGTACACGAATAACATACCCCATTAATTCTTCTTCGCATCTTTGACCCACACGTTGTGCGGAATGTTGCTTTGCGTCCTTGAATCGAGGTTTATTAACCATATTGTCCAATGGTCTTGCCAGTGTCGTCATCGACATGCATGTACATCAAGAAGGCAGAGGACATAGGAGCCTGATTGGAAATTTTCGTGGCATAGGACGGCCACACAGCGAGTCAGAGACGCTTTGCGATTTTCTGAATAAAAAATATCGTAGGCACGATGCATAGTTCAATTTGTGCAATATCAAACATTGTTTATGATCCACCACATCCAGCAGAACGGGATCCAAACACAAGCTTACAAACAGTTAGGCTGCCGACCTGACTGGACAAATGATCCTTGGCTTCACCAGATGCCAGAAGTCAGAAACCATGCCTTTGCCGCGACGTCCATCTCCGAAAAGAACTCCATCTTCGTCGTGAAAAGGCTTGAAATACAGTCGAATGTCACTTATCCGACCACTTCGGGAATCAGGCATGTTGGATAACTGAATATGTTGGATAACTGATATCATTTTTATGTGCATATATGGCTGGATTTCACTGATTTATGTACACAATACCCAAACTAGTATATTCATGCATATTCATGAATTGCTCCATGTACACATACATGTTAGCATACTTGACCAGATCTACTTCAAGTAAATGCATATTACACCGTATAATATACCAAAAAAGCAAACAAAAAAATTGAATTCTGCTGTTGAGAGTCATAAAATTACCACTCCCAGGCTTGTCGGATAACCGACGGGCTCGGATTACTGGCGACCGGATAAGTGACATTCGACTGTACTCAATATTCAACGGAGATTCATGGTCTCATGCTTTCTTAGATCGAATCATTTTTTTGTTGTAGCAGTTGCAGGGCAGATCCCCGCCACTACTTCAACAGGGTTTCGCTTCACAGCATGCCTGGAACAAGCCATATCGAGGTTGCAAGCCACCCCTCTCAGCAAGAAATTCGAAATTTCAATGGTGGAAGGTATACTACGAACATAATTTCAAAAGGTATGGTTCGCGGCGCGATCGTTCTACCTACGTCATTCAAACTTTGCAGGATGGTTCTGACCAACATGTTAGGCATGGAACCACAGGGTTTGATGTCATAGCTGACACACAAAGTCACACACACAGCACATTCGTGTCCACAGATACTAAATTAGTGGACGTGGTCATCTTCTTCCCGCTGGTCTCAAATGTACGATGACATGCTATTTCGCCGGACGAGGAGTCAATGGGCAATGGAAACAGCTCCAAATTGCAGCCAGGGATTGTATGAGGGCAAACAGGTATGACAATAGCCATGGGCTATTGCAGCAGCGGACAGCACAACAGAGAATCTGACATCAACCGGAAGAGGGGAGGGGTGCGATGTTGACCAAGGTTGGGCAACAGTACTGTCCAGGTTTCCTTCATCCAGAGAGTAAACCCAGGGTCCTGAAATAGAATGAGTGTCGTTGTGATAACATCATTTTATGAGTGCGTTGTTACGATACAGTGTTTGTTGTGTGTTGTGCGTGTGTGTCGGATAATAATATTAATAACAATACGCCGATATAATTAGTTGCATAGATAGTACTTACGTTGTTGCTTGCATTCTCGCTCTCCACAGCAACTTCATTGCGTGCTGCGTTCTATGTATTCCTATTCTGTACACTGACTCTCTCTCTCTGACAGGGTTTGCTGTCACCCTGTCGCTGGGCGCAAGCACCCTCTGACAGACCAAACCGATTCGCTTCATCTTTGCAATATTTTTCTCCTTTCGATTTGAATTATTTCTGTTTGTTCTGCACTCTGACTTTTCCTTGTTGCACTTGCGCTTTTGGACGGAGACTAACTTTGCTGTCGCCATTATTATATCCATGGTTACGTAGTCGTTGTCCGTTGACATGACTCATCGATGCATCATGCATGATTTGTGATCATCTGCTTTTCTGATCTTCAAAGACTTCATGCATGCACGCACTGATGACACGTAAGCCAATGCACACACTGATGTACACGTAAGCCAATGCACGCACCCGGGCACGTTTTGCTGATGACAGCGATTTGGCGATTGTGGTTCTTGGTTCTTTTCTTGTTGTAATCTTCTTGTAAATATCTTAACTTAATTTTTGTTCTCCTACCTGGTCGCTTGGTGCACTGGTTTGTGTGAGCGACGGTACTGGTGGTTTGTGGAGTACAGTAGTGAGGAGGATTAGGCAACAGTCCCGAACACGCTAAATATAAGTTTACGTTTCAGATGGAGCGATAACTAAAGCGGCGGGTAGCGCATAGTCCTCACTCGGTTGCAGCAGTCTGCAATGCGTGAGATGAGGTAACATGATGGCACACTGAACAACTCCATTGTTGTAACGCCAAACCAATTCATGGAAGCTAAGCCACCACTTTGATTGTGTAAGGTGTGCAAGACACCCCTGTCAGCTGCCAGGCCAAGTCAACTGGGTTAAACTTTACGTATCTTGATCTCACCTGTCCATGCCGCCCTTATGTTTTCGGTGTTGAATCTTTATGAAGTATTGATTTATTTTTTCCTCTTGCTGTCCTCTGATGCTTCATAGCGCTTTCAGTACCAAGCCAGTACCTAGGCCGTGGAACAGACACCGGATCACCCACGATTGGACATGATGCAAGCGATTGGGAACAGCCTTGTGTGATGTATAAATGGGTAACCCGGCATGCCATTATTTAGTGTGTATGTGAGTGATGACGGATTGAGTAAGAAGCCCGATGGGCAGTGATGACACATGATTGCGTATGGCTTGATGCCATAATCACGGAGAAGCCCGATGGGCAGTGAGGATACCAGATTGTGTATGAGTTGATGCCATGATGAGGGAGAAGCCCAATGGGCAGTGATGACACATGGTTGTGTATGGCATGATGCCATGATGAGAGAGAACCCCGATGGGCAGTGATGACACATGAAAGTGTATGACTTGATGAACGATGATGTGGTTATGAATGATTACAGAAAGAGGGAGAGAGAGAGAGAGAGAGAGAGAGAGAGAGAGAGAGAGAGAGAGAGAGAGAGAGAAAGAGAGAGAAAGAGAGAGAGAGAGATAGATAGAGAGAGAGATAGGGATAGAATGAGAGAGAGAGAGAGAGAGAGAGTGACTGGATGAATGAGACTCCTACACAGATGTATCCAGTCTTTGATGTGGTTGAGCCTGTTGTGGCGAGACGACTGCATAGTAGCGTTGCAATGGCCATGCCACATACGCAATAGGGTGAGGTTTTACACATAAACCTTGCCTCCTAACTGCCAGTTACATAGAGGTATGTGTGTTTTTATGTCTCGGTACCTGCTTTTCACCCGTTTTTTTGTTGTGGCACGCGGAGGAGTGTACGTGCGCGGGCAGTACGTGTGTGTACAGTGAGTGTGTGCATACACTAAGTGTGTGTGTGTGTGTGTGTGCGGTGAGTGTGCGTAAGGGTGCATGTGTGTGCAGTAAGTGTTGACGTGTGCATTCGATACAGCATTCTTTCTCTTGCAGGAACTGACCGGACGTCCAGCCCAATCACGGAAGTACAGCACGTCACATTGAATTTACTGGCAGTACTACTCCATGATGTAGCACTCACCACATAGCAGGGGAACTTTCGGGCAATTCGCAGAGATTTTGTCTGCTCTGATTGCACTGCTGATCACGTCATCCTGGATGATGTGCGCTCGCCCGGTTGCCGCCGAACCCAACCTGGCCAACCGGTGATCATCCCAGGGCAAGTCTGGCCGGGTCTCCATAATGTTCATATTAACTATACACTTGCCCACAGATGGTGGTCACAGTACCCGGGACTTTGGCACACTGGCACCATGCGCCACACTGGTCGTTTGTTCTTGTCCAAGTCCATGTGTGCTGCTCTCCTATCGGCCTCACTATCCTTTACATTGTGAGTGTGATTGCTCTGGTAGACCACTACCCCATCTACTGAACAGTTGCTTTGTGAGTGAAAAGTTTTGTTTTTTAACGGCTGAGCGTAGCGAAAGAGTGCAAAAAACGTATTTTTCACTCGCAAATATTTTTATGTGTTTGCTCTTGTTCTGCGCAACTCCATTGAACCCACCATCGTGGTCTTTGTTTTCCTCGTGGTAGTTGAAGTGGCCCGCCCACCCACCCTGGTTTCATGGGGGTCTGCCGCTGTTCTTCTTGATATTCTATGCCAATGTGTGTGGCTTATGATTACGACATACACTGGTTATTACATACCATTTCTTGCTGTCTCTATTCTTGGGTCCGACTGGCAGCGGGGCAGGAATTAATGAAATAGAAAGGTTTTTTGGCCGAAAGGCGTGTTTTCCTCTAGCCCGGTTATTATTTATTATTATTATTTAAACGCGGATACTGAGCCAGTAAAAAAAGTGTATTCTCTGACCGCTTATCATCTTGTAACAGTCGTGGATAGTTGCTGCATAACTCGTTCTCATGTGTTTCTTCTCTTTTTTACATATTATTTATTCTTGTTTTATGAGTGCAATAAGAGTAAAATAGATGCAGACATGGCCAGACGAATTATTGGAATTTTAAAGGATTTTTATTATTCAAAACCGATTTTGTGTCCCGCTCATCAGTGAATATATTCTTGTTTTACTAGGGAATTCCCAACAGGCGGCGACGCCTTTTTACAGGGAACCCTAGGAACATTGTGATAGATGCGCGAACTTCAGCTGGTGACCTAGGCGTACGGCAAGCCGGTGGCAGTGCATTCCACCTATCAGCACCTAAGTAAGAAATTGCACTGAAGCTTGCTTTTACTCTCGGTACACGTCCGGTTGAGCGGTCGCTTCTAGGAATGTAGGGAGTCATTGTTTTCAGGCGCTCATCTGCTGCCCAGCCACCCACGCTCACCACTGCCTGGCCATGCTGTTTCACTTGATTTTACAGCCTTTTCTCCCGCTTGCTGGCGGTTCTTTGATGGATTTAAATATGTTTCGGCTATTTATCTATTAGGTGGCTGCGAGTGTGGTTTTTTGCTTCTACTCATTTCTGCAAATCCACTACAGTGGTGAGTGTGAATGCTCTGGTAGACCACTACCCGATGTACTGAACAGTTGCTTTGTGAGTGAAAACATGACATTTCGTCTAAAATTCCGGTGCTTGAAAATTTCAAAAGCCTGCCAAATACCACAAGATTCATGATTGTAATCCTTCTAGATAACTCACATGCAGGCTGTGTTGTCCCAGTAATAGGTCCGCTCAACACCATAGACTTCAAAGGCGGAGCCAATGTATTCTGTACATTGATGTTGCTGAATGAATATACTGCATCCTCCTCCAGTATGCCTACTGTACCACTCTGTCCATGTGAAATGGTCACTGTATGACCCGTGCGATTGGTTTCAGTGTTCATTGTTGTTGACATGACACATATCTCGGGTGAACTAGAAGAAGTCTGTGAAATTCCAGAAATTGTGGATAGTACGGGAGTATAGCAAACAGCGCCAAGGTTATAATCACCGGTATTCACTGTGATTGTCAAAGTGATCAATTTATTGCCTCCTGCTGTTGTCAGACTTGGCGTAGGAGGCTCTGTTCACAGCAAAATGCATAAAAACACCCGTATCAAGTTGTGAGTGCACATGCACAAGCGCACGAACGCACAACCACATATGTCACGGCCGCGCGTTGGCGGGTTTGTGACTTGGATTAGATCAGTCTAGTGGCTACCCAGGTAGACGACCAATATAGTCGCCATCCAAGTTGCTAGCTCACATAGAACAACAGGTTTCTAATTCCACTTGAACAGTGTTTATTTGAACCATTGCAGTACTAGATCGAAAGATCAAGTGTGAAGAGTCAAAGACCCAAAGCAGGAGTCAAGCGAGAGAGCATTAGAGTAGTGAGCTCCCCGAGAGTCAAGAGAGTAGTGAGCTCCCCGGATTGAGGATGAATGTTTGCAAAACAGCTCCTTATATATGCTACATTATGTGATCAAAAGTATACAGCGGCAAGAATGCGTAAGGATTATTTCTATATTACAAACAGTGGTGCAGTATGTGCAATCAGCCAAACTAGAATATAGTACAAAGATCAATCAATACGGGGAGCTCGCTCACCCAAATGAGAATATCAGTGATCTCCCAATGCTGGCATGATCTTGGTGATCCGGTGGACTGGGATGCATTGCAGCAGGCGGGAAGCGTAGCTGTGTCGCTCTTGTGGTTTCACCCAATATGGGCTCTTCCCCCCAAACATAGCAGCAGACGGCAATGCCGTGTTCCCTCCAATGGGCCTGGGGCCTAGAGTACGCGAAGTACTGTCGACCCTTTGCGTCTTACGACACGAGAAGAGGCGCCACTCTTGCTCAACTAACAAAGGTATCAGCTCCCTTGCAGGACTAAGCGTGGCCCCCTCAAACTCAACAGTGTAGTGAGTACAATGCTGACGACTTGTACTGAAGGTGTTGCCGACGTACGACAACACTTTGCGACTCTAGGCCACGAGTTGTAAGCCATGATTGCTCAACTAACGAAAAAGCCAAATCCTTCGCAGGACTAATCATGGTTCTTACAGAACTCTAGAATATTTCGGAGTCTAGCTTTGGCTGCTGAACTCAATGCGTGGTTGCTTTCACGACGAGTCTGATCCGGGTCATGACACATACAAACACACACACACACATTATTGCACGGGTACAGATTATGAGGGCAGTACTAGATTTATCACGACATAGCATGATTATTTATCATGACATAGCATACCTAAACTGTTATTGAAAGGAATACTATTGTAATAGTACACATAAAAAGGACACACTCCAGGCTCTTTACGAACATCTTGAAAGTTTTTGGCTTCACAAGGATACTTTCAAGCCTTCTCATCAGGTGAAATACAGGCAAGGGAAAAGGAACAGGAACAGTGGATGAAGTACAGTAAGGAGGTGGTAAAACAGTGCAAAGAAGAAGATAGCTAAAGTAAACAGCGAAAATGCGTGACCTATACACATAGCAATAATGACACAAAGGTGCAAGTGCGAGAAAAAAAGAAGAAAAAAGCTCAATAAGCGTGACATGTAGTGCGACAACAAGATACAACCACTGGACATAACTAACGAGGTTTTGATGACCTACCTAACAGCCTAAGTGTGAATTTAATTCCCGTAGCTATGCAGAAGACATTACTTCAGTAACGTCTGGCGCTACCCAGGGTCCACACAGCTTTAATTTGGTGTTTGTTTGTTTGTGGTAGACGGACCTCCATCTGGCGCTATCCCGTATCTGTCCCGTACCGTACCATCAAAGACAGCTGGCCACAAACAGCTGGCCACAATATTCAACGCATATTCAAATAGGGCTTTCAAATGCAAGATCACAACGTGAAGCAACTTGGAAGAACGAGTATGCATGTGAAGTGTATCAGGTAATGCATGTAGGGCGGTTGTGCAGCTTCGAATCCCAGGTTATGCAAAAAAATTGGAGAATTGAAAAAATTATAACATCCCTATGTTCTTTGGCCTAGGCCATCAAGGTGGTAGACGGTGTCGTATTACCGTCGACCGTACCTGTCTCATGCCGTACCGTACCATCAAAGACGGCTGGCCACAACAAACAGCTGGCCACAATATTCAAATCAGGCTTTCAAATGCAAGATCATAACGTGAAGCAACTTGGAAGAATTATTCTCTGCCATCCTGGGTGCCTAAATTGTTGACCCCTGACGCTGCGCTCGCGGAGTATTTGTAGATTTGACTTTATCGGATTTGGAATTTGTGGTGCCTCTCGCCGCCCGCCCACCCTAGCCACACCTGGAGCTGCTGCCGCCGCCGCCATCCGTCGTCATGCTGTTTCCGCTCATCAGCCTGCCAGCCAACACTGGTTTTCGCCGCAGTCCGTTCCTGCGTGCACCGCATTCTGGCTGCCTGTCAATCACCGGCTGTTGACATTAAACTTGAGCCTCAACATCCGCACTTCACCGCCTGGATTCGGAGCTGCTGTGGAGCAACCACCCATGCATTACCCGATACACTTCGCATTCCGCTGAGAGGTCAGGGACCATGTTCAATTGGGACCAGGAGAGAGCCATCTCCGGCAACTATGGACCTGGAAGCCACGAGTAGAGCGGCAGCACCAACCACAGGGCCCACAGTGGGCCTTGCAACATAAGAGAGCGAGCGGGACAAGCGGCGCATGAGGAGTCGGCTTGTTCGGCATGGAGCTTGAGATGACGTCGTGGGGAGCGTCTTTTGGACCGCCAAACTTCCGGCACTGCAAAACCAGCAATGGCAGGCAGAACATTGTCGGCTACGTCTCTATTCCGATACAGGTTTGCAGTGCTCACCGAGGCATTCGTGATGAGGCAAACCACTCCTATAGAAGAGTCAACCATACAAGGCACCCGCAAAGGCACACAAACGGGTTTGTGCGGGGTAAGAACATTGTAAGCGGCCTGCCATTCCCGTCTATCCTCGACCAAGTCGTACCATTTGTCGATGCCCAACACTGCCAGATCCTTCCGCGCAACATCGCACCACATTTTCCTCGGACCGCACATCGGTCGAACAGGATGTATGGTGCCAGACAGTAGCTGACACGGGGCTCGCTCTTCATGCTCTTCATGCATTCGCACAATATGCCCAAGCCACTCCATGCGGCGCAATGTCAGCAGGCTAGGGATGTCACTTGATGGACATGGATTACATCACGCCAGAACATCAACTCTGGTCAGTTGTTCGTCCCAGACAGTCCGCTGGCTGATACCCATTACGGAACGGATGCAACGCAGATGAAAAGAGCACAGTGCATTAAGGTCGGGCTTCAACGGCACCCAGCACTCAGCACAGTACAGAAGCAGAGACAGCAAGCATGCCTCGTACACAAGCCGCTTCATTGCAAGGGAAAGGTTGCCGTCATGGAAAACCGGCTGGCCCAGGGCTCCAAATGCACGTGATGCGCCGACAATGCGCGAGCTGATATCCGGCCAAAACTGGTCACGTGGGTCTCCCCGGGAAGATGACTCAATTGGCTATTGAACCGCCCAATGGCCGACACCCCCTGAAATCCCCAAAACTCTGGGTGGACTTGAAAATGATCCCACTATAATTGCAGTTACCCCTGGCCCCAGTGAAGGTAATACTTGCTACTAGTGTGGGTGGCTAAATCAGAGTGGATTTGATCAGTGGTGGGTTTGGGGGGGGGGAGGGGGGGGGGTGCGCCGGGCGCCCCCCCCCCCCCCTCAAAGGTTTCGACCTAGGTTTCGAAAAATATAAGGCAGGGCTGGGGGGGGGGGGGGGGGCGCGCGCGTGGCCTGAAACGATCGTCCAAAAGGGGTTGCAGTCCGCTCCCGGCCCGTATGGCTGTGGATGCACAGGTAGTAAACTAGATCACTTAGAGTGCTGATTCACTACAATCGCCAGGAGTCATGGCCGGAAACGGAGCTGATACGGAGCCCTGGCGACAGCTCTCGTCTTCGACACTGAAGAAGAACACTGTTGCATTCCCCTCGCAAGCCCAGGTAAGCGTGGGGGCCTACATAAAGCTCCAAGAAGAGCAAGGTATCACCGGCATCATTTTGATGCAGACAACAAGCAGGGGTCAATGTAGACTTACCGTTGAGTCATATGAAAAAGCCAAATTGTTGGTGCTCAATGGCTTCGATTGCAAGGGCGAACGAGTTTCACCACGCTTCGTTTCCGCACCAACAACACAGCTACACATCCATGATGCTCCGATCTGGATCTCAGACGGTGTGTTCAAAGCTGCTCTCTCACCGTACAGAAAGCTTATCGGTGAGATACAACACGGCACCCAAACAGCAACTGGTGTGCAATTCGCCACGTTCGAACTAAAACCAGGCAGTTTGATCCCGTCGTATCTGCGTGCTACAGAAGGTTCCCACGAGCTCTGCATCATCTACGACGGCCAGGCAGGCACGTGCAGGCTATGTGGCCAGATAGGTCACATCGTACGTACCTGCCAAAAACCGTCGCAGTGCACACACCTCCACGCATGCCGGCAGAGAAGGCAGCGGCACTAGCACTGGCAGCACAGAGCGGAACAGCGTCAGCAGAGATGAAGCTGACTCTCACCGTACCGATTCGGCACCAAAAGAGGTCCTGAGTTGTACCAACGCCAGCGCCGTATCCGAAACGGCCTCCGACGGTGCCAACAGCACGCCGAAAGCAGACCTGCTCCCCAGCTCGCACCCAAACGATTCAGTCAATGACCAGTATGACTTACATCGCCCATGCGGCAACAAGCACGACCGTGCACCCCGGAACGCCGCCAGGCAGCACAGGTACAGCTACGACAACATCCAACTCACCGCACACCGACACAACTACTCCTACTACCACAACATGCAATCACCCAGATTCGGCGCGTGCTGAAGACCCCCTCTCCTCACTGGTGACTAACACAGGCATGTGTAAACAGCCAGCAAACCCCTGGATTACCTCCGGACGACGCAGGAGCACCAGTCCCAGTGCGGAATCCTCACCTGATTTCAAAATTCCACAAAACAGAAAGAGAGCAACAACATCGACCCTGGCCCCAGCCAACCCCTTGCCCCAGCACAGGGCTCCCACTTCAGCC